GTGGCGGAAGTGCCGGCATTTCTGCCGCATGCAGGAGTGCTGGTACTTCTGCCTCCGCCGTGCCACCGGCACACTTGGCGACCGGCCTCTGGGGACCCTCCTCCCGTCACCAGCTGGCTGTTGCTCCCCCCCCTCCAGTCGTGCTCCACTGGTGCCCCCCAGACTCAGGAGGCACCAGTTGCCCATGGGTCCCGCTCTGCGGCAGGGCAGGGTGTTTCTGACGTCCTGTCTGAAACCTGTGGGCCCCTGGCAGTGCCAGCTGGCCTTGCCTGGCACCCTTGAAAAGACATTAAGGCCCCTCAGCATGCTGCAGCACCCTGGTGGAGAGTCATTGCTGTGAAGGAGATGGGTGCGCGCCAAGCCGTGAGGTGGCTGGTGCACGGAGCGCATTGGCATCCATAGGCATGTGTGGGGAGGAAATCCCTAAGAAGAGTGGTAGGGCTAAAATATCTCTGTGCATCCATGCAACTCATTTTCCCCTGAAAAATCCCCCCCCCCCCCCCCCCCTTTCCCTTCTCCCTCTTCAGGCAGTATGCTGAAAATGAGCAGTTTCCAACAAGTTGGGGAAGCCTGTGATCTTAACAAGTCTTAAAAGCATGATTGTTTACAAAGCCCTTTTTCCTAGACAATCATTTTGCATTAAAAAAAAAAAAAAAAAAAGAATCAAGATTTTTAGACCACACAGACTCGTGATTGTATTTCACGCTGTCTAAATATCAATGTGATCCTTAGTCTCTGCTCATACTATTACTTAGCCTCAGGGTACTGCTCCACAGATAAATACATTACAGATCTGGGGTGTTCAGACACCATAACAGTATCTGTCCAGACCAATTATTTTCAACTGGGGCACTGCCAGTCAAGTGTCACGTTAATTTTAAGATTATTCATGCATTCTTCACCCCAGATAGTTAAATCAGAAAAATTATGGAGGGGTGCATGCTTGGGTCTTAAAAGGTCAAGAACTACTGGGTTAGCAGCTTAAAGTATACTATAAACCACCTGTGTGTAATACTGTAGGGAAGCACCTTTTAAGCATCAATGGCTACATTAAACTCAGAGCAGGCTTTCACTACTCTTTGATTCTAAAGAATGGAAAAAAGTAGTGATTTTTTTTTTTTTCACAATATTAATTGATATTAAGAGCAATGTTCCTTATTGAGAAAATATTAATGTGTAACATAAGCGTACAGTTTCAATAACTTGCTAGTTGGTTAGCTATAGAAGTACAGTAATAGCATTTTAATAGCTGTTTAAAAGCCACCAGATGGTGCAATACCACAATGTAGACTGTGCTCTAAATCTGCTTATATGGGTCACAAGACATTAACTCCACGTAACCACGACAGGATCCTTTGGAATACAAGCTTGTGTTACTGCAACAAAACTGTTTAATGCAACCCAATACAAAATTTCATCTTTAAAACTCATACTACTCAAACTCAGAGGTTTGAAAAATTTTAAAGCTAGGGGTTTATATCGAAAAGACCATAGCTACTTGAATGCCATAACGGCATATGGGATTTCTGGCATCAGCATTCAGTGACCTGTATTTGTACTTTTCCCAGATAAACTCTAGGTCAAGAGATTAAGTACGTAGATGACTATTTGTGCAGTCTAACAGATTGGAACATTTTTTAAAGTTCACGTACATGAAGCTGTAGAAACTAGGTTGTACCAGAAACCCATTATGTACAGGTTAACTATTTTTTAGTCAAAAAGAACCAAAATCTCATATGATCAATGCAATATTGAAAGCAATGCTGAAAACAAAGGGAGGCCAATTAAAATGTACAAGCCTTTCCTTGATCTTTAATAGAAAAACACTGCTCAAGTATCTCCTCTTCTGGGAGAGAGGTAGTGATACTTTCAGCATTTGAAAAAAAATTAAAAGGTAAGAAAGCCCCAGGATCGTGTAAATGATCCACTGATACCAAATTCTACAGACAGGTACAAAGATAAAGCAGTATACATTCTCATCTTTAAAAGGTGGTGTCAGGATTCTACTATAACAAGTAGCTAGAAAGACCTGAGTTCAAGTTTCTTCCAAGTACTTACAGAGTATCAGTTTTGCATGGTCCACATCTCATGGGGGTGAAAGGGGAGTACATGTGCTAGTTACACACACACACACACACACACACACACACACACACACACACTCTTAAGCCTTTATGCCCCTAAAAATTTCAAGTGCAGGGATAGCAAATATCCTATACTTAAGATGTTCAGCAAGCCTTCCCTCCAAAACTTTTACAGCCTGCCTGCTTTCAGGACAATGACTATATTCCAAGTTATTTAGAAAAAAAAAAAGGAAAATATTTCACTTAAATGGAAGTTCATTATAAATTAACATAGCTGGAAGCCAATTAAAAGGAAACTTAAAAACAAAGAAAGCATGGTGCCAGACAAGAGCAGGATGTTATTCCACAGTCAGACATTAGAAGTTCTATATCTAAAAGTTGATGTGACTTTCTTCCTATGTAAGCACATTTAGTGTAGCTTTAGCTAAGAGGTATTAATTGACAGTCCTGGAAGTTAACACATTTGATCTACTGACAGAGCAGGTACAATGTCAAGCAGACCAAGTGCAGGTTTCTGTTCCAATGTTCCTTAAAATTAGAAGAGTAAGGCTTGCCTACAGGACAGGTAATTAGTTTAGTTTGGACCCATTCAGATCCTTTTTTGCCAGGGTAACAGACTAGGACCAAAAATAGTTTTCAAAAAAATATTATAACCAAGTGAAATTTAGCAGTTCAGAACTACCCACTTATTTCTTGTCAACTAGGCCTAGCTCTACTCCACCCACAACAGGCAAAGACCCAAAGATCAAAACTATCAAGGACTCAGCATGCACCAGGCAGCAATACAAATCCCAGTCATTAACACAAGATAGAACTAAGATTCAATAATGTATGACTAATAGCTAATCCTCAAAGACCTTAAAAAAAAAAAAAAAAAAAATCAGTATTTAAAAATTGGAATGGGCCTTAATTCCCGATCTTAGTATAAAATTGGTTAGTCAGTTCACCTTAAGGAATTCAAGCCAGAAGAAAAAGAGACAGTCTCTTATTCAGGGACAAACAGGTACAGACACCCACTTCTAATAAGTAAAAATGCACTGATACATTGGTATCATATTGGATCAGCACCAATAAAATGAAATTAACATCATCAGCTATTGGCTTTTTTTGGCTAGCGTAGCCAATAATGTACCAATAAGTATAATGTGCCTTCTGGCAGGGGCCCCAGACACCACATGCGTGCATGCAGCCACAGCATGCCTGTGGTCAAGAAGGCAGCTGGGCAGCCTGGAGAGCAGTGCCCTGCAGGTAAGTCTGTGGAGGGGATGGGGGAGGGGGAAATCAAGGTTCCCACTGGGAGGGAGTTGGGCAGGGAGTGCTACCTAGGCAGGATGGTGAATGGGACCCAGGGCTGGGGCAGGGAGTGGGACAGAGCCACAGGCAGTGGCTCCTGACTGCTGCTCACACCCCTGGGTGAGCCATGGGGGACATGCGCCATCCTAGATTTGTGCATGGGATGAAGGTAGATGTGGGCTGCCTGCTAAGGGCTCGGGGCTCTCTGCCCTGCTGCCTTTGCCCCAGGAGCTACGCATTAACCTACCCACCCAGCAGCAGGAGGCACAAGTTGCTGTTGCTACGGGTGCTGAACAGGTAGGGGAGGGCAGAGGCAGCAGGGGGGAGAGCCCCGAGTCCACAGCAAGCAGCCTGCATTTGCCCTTGCCCCACTGGTTAGAAGCATCCACACACACAAAAAGGTGGCAGCAGTTCTTAAACTAAAGCTCATTTGACAAGCTTTAGTTCAAGTGCCCCCACTGCCATTTAAGTGCCGGGACACTGATTCCCTGGACGAGCCACCTGCACCTCCATCCTGCTCCCTGCCCTGGGCACAGGGTCTCATCTACCACCCGGGCTGGAGAGACCCCCCAGCCTCAGCCTTACTCCCTCCCTCACCATGGGGGCTTTGATCTGCACCCCCAATGCCCCTTGCCTCTCCCACAGGACACTACTCTCCAGTGCCCAGCTCTCCTTCTGTAAAAATCAGTTATCAGATCTGTATTAGCTGATTTTATTCACCAGGCATAGTGGCCATCTGTATCAGCCAGGAAAAATCTTTAAAAATAAGTGTACCCCTACTAATAAGGATGCTCTGAGTTGGAAGATTAAATCTCTCCCCTCCCACCCTCAAAAAGACACCAACATGAGTAACAATTATTCTGATGTCACAAATTGCTATCAATCTGGCAATTCATACTCCTCCTCCCCTGTAAGAACAGGTTATTTAGACAAGCCTGCAATTCAGCACAGAGCAGAGGTAGCTGCATTCAGTTCATCACTTAAAACAAGCTTAAAAACAAGACAGTCCAGTTACTGAATCTCAAGTAAGGTGACAGGACACTAACATTATGTTTCAAGTTTTCCTCATGCCAAGTACTTTGTATTGCTCCACTTTGCCAATGACTGCAATCCAGCCAGCTTTCAGTTCACAATTTCAGGATGCTAAGTATGAATTTTATAGCCAAGGTAAGCACTGTATTTAAAAGCTAGAAATATTACAACATCTGACTACTGAAAGAACTATTCTTAAGGACCAGCTCAGGCTTTTGGGGTTTTTTTGTGTTTGTTTTTTACATTCATAAGCCACACTATAGTATCAGAAGTTTTCATAACAGGAGCAGAAAGTAGTAGTGAACTTCTACCTAACAACACCTGACCTGCAATGACTAACCGACGATTGCAAGCATGGCATTAAGCAGGATGTCATTTCTCAGGTCAATGCCACAGACCACACATCCACTCTCTCTGGGAATGAAAGCCTGACCTTCAGGTGGGAAAGGTCAGAAAGACTGAAAGGAAAAAATGGAGTAAGAACTATGGGAAATGGCAACTAGGAACTTCTAGATCAGTGGGCTTCTAAAAGCTGAAAGCAAGTTCTTTTTTAGCTTAGTCAAATTATATTCATTAGGTTACTCTGAATACCGAAGGCAAAGAAATCCCTACCATAGCAAAGCCAACGTCTGCTTTCTTCAGTGCTGGACCATCATTCGTACCATCACCCGTTACTGCCACAACTTGCCTCTGTTCCGAGACAGTGCTGTCAATTATGCCTAAAAAGTAAAACAAACTTTCAATACTGAATTTCGTAAGTTTATGAGCTAGTTTAGATGATAATGCTCTATGCTTTAGGTTGAATTTAGCATTGTTTCACCCTTCCTAGACCCTCCCCAATCCTAAAATCTCTACTGGAGCTAAAAACCACGTGCCCTGAACCTCTAGGTTGGTGGTAATAATAATAATAATAATAATAATAATAATAATAATAAATAAATAAATAACATTAAAGCCAATACAATCAGCTATTGGCTTTTGTAACTAAAAATCAGAAATAGTATTGATAGATACCCCAAACCCTTACCCTTGGATCAACGGGCTGTGAGGTGGGATTAACTAGTGAACTCAAGACTTCAAGCAGATTACTGATGCTAAAAAGGGCAAGCTTAGCTTTATAGAAATGTAGGCTTTAAGTTACTTTGACTGATGCACCACATTTACCTTTTACCAATGTATGTTTGTCAGTGGGGGATGATCTTGCAAGCACACGCAGCTTTGGCCAAATTTTATCTATTCTCTCTTGCTCTATCTGTACAAAAAAAAAAAAAAAAAAAAAAAAAAAAAAAAAAAAGTTACTTATTCCCGAGCTACAGATTAAGACAGGACAAAAGCCATCTTAAAAGAAAGAAAAAAAAAGGTGTCACCTCTCCTTTTTCGTTCCGTATTCGCCTATTAAAATCTTTGCCCTCTAAGCATAGAAAATCTTCACCCGGATTCAAAATGCCACATTTTAATGCAATAGCACGAGCAGTGTTAATGTTATCACCAGTGACCATACGAACAGTTATACCAGCACGCTGACATTTTTTTATTGCATCGGGTACCTGTTTATGCAAAAAAACAAAACAAACGACAGGTATGTTTTTAAGGTTCACATTTACCTTGCATTTGTTTTAGCACAACTAAAAGAAGCACTGTACTTAACATTTCCCTTAAAAAAATAAATTATTATTGACAACAGATGTCCTGAACTTCTGACATGACCCATGGCAAGCTTAACTTTTTACTCATTCAGTCCTAGAGGAGAACAAAGTTAGCACTATGCAACTGAGCTAATGGAATTGACCCTTTAGCACAAGCAAGACGGGTATAACTTTTTAAAAATTCAAAGGGAATTAGTTCAGTCCAAGAGATGACCTACCCAGAAGTATTCCATCATTAGAAATTTATCCATAGAGTCCTGTCCATACACCCCACCCCCATGAAAACCAAGTGAAGTGCTTCTCCCCACAAAAAACTTTCCCATTAGTTGCCAAGCTGGCAAGTTTTTAAGTACTGCAGTCTATGAAATGAATTTCATTACACTGGGCATAAGGAGCTTCATTGCAGATTGACACCCCTGACTGGAACTTAATGTTGTTGCTTAAAGATGCAAGCAAAGGGCAGGAGCCATATCATCCAGAATGGCATTGCCCAATACATTCAGCTTTACACTGGCTCTAGCCCTGGGCACTGCATGCAGTGCGGAGACCATGTGCCACAGGCTGTATGAAGGACATGGGGTGGTCTGGGACTTTTACTGCATGTGGTGCCCACGCTAGACCAACCCTGCACACTGGATCCAAGGCTCGTCCAGATCGGGTCCACAGACAAGACCTGCATCCTGGATCTGGTCTGTTGTGGGCATTGCATGGAGCATACACACCAGAACAGCTCCATGTGTCATGTCAGGCTAGAGCTGACATGACATGCAGTGTGTAGGGCCAGTCTGGAACATGTGGTGCCTACACAAGCACAGCCTTGTGAGCTGGATCTGGGGCCAGTAGAGATCGTCTGTAGACTGGCTCTGGATGCCATGCCAGTTCCAGTGCACAGGGCTGGTTTAGTGTAGATGTCACATGCAGTGTACCCCAGACCAACCCTGAACACTGCAAGTGGCAAGTGCAGCAAGCAGCACCCATGCCAGACCAATCTTATGGCCCCCATGGGGCCAGATGAATTGAACACCTCTCGTTTAGACCAATACCTGCTTCACATTTCAGGAAGTCATCACCCCAATTGTCAGAATGCTGCAGCTTGTTACACCCACTTTCCAAAGAGGTAGATTCAATTCCCACATTGGAGTTGGTCTCCTACACAGTATCTACCACTTCAAGCTACAGGAGACAGTCACACTACATTTTGGATTGACTACCTTATCTTTTTTCACCTTTTGCACTCTCCCCAGGTGACAGACCCCATACAATTAAATACAGGTCATTACTACTGTAGGCAATAATATTGCCTAAAGAGATGCTTCTAGTGTTTTAGCTAATGTACTAGCAGTATTTAGGTCATTCATGTGTATAGTGTTCTAACACAAAGACAGGACTATAAAAAAAAAAAAAAAGATTTTTTTTTTGTAACTAGCAGGCTTAAACTAGGTTCCTTGTATTGCTTGTGCTAAAGAGGTAAGTGTTAAATCCATACTAGTTATAAGAATGCCAACAAATTTGGACTGCTAACAAACTTAAGTGAAGATTTACTTTACATTAAGCTGTAAGCTTTTTATTTCAATTACTGGTTTTCCTTACCTCAGGCCTCACAGGATCTTCAATTCCTACAACAGCAATGCACGTAAGACCAGTAACAATATCATTTTCATTGTCCCATTCTGGCTCTGGTTCCCCAGCTGGGAAATCCCTGAATGCTAGACAAATGGTCCTGAGCCCCTCAGAGGCCATAGGTTCAATTACAGTTTTTACAATGTCATCACGATCTCTAGGTCTGAATACCTTTGGTTCACCATTCGCACTCAATATTTTGAAGCACCTGAAAAGCAAGAACAAAATTTAAGAGGCAGTTAAACTAGATAAAGAGCCACAGATTCAGCCACGGGAACTGAAAGACACTCGAGAGAGTGAAGCTAGTACTCAAACTAAAGCCAAGCAATTTCCTCAGTGTTCTTTCCCTTCAGTTTCCTTAAAAAAACCAAAAAAACCAAAAAAAACCAACCAAACAAAAAAGGATCAAGGTAAAGTCATGTTGGCTTCATTAAAAAAGTTCCATCCAACTACTCGGTACTGTGCAGGCCCTTAAGAACAAAAGGTATTATTTGTGCATTTATAGCATAATGTACCTCTGATTGTAGGTTCCACGCTTGCATATAAAAAAATTGCAGAAATTTAGGGTTGGACTAGATGACCTCCTGAGGCCCCCTACTCAAAGCAGGACCAGTCCCAACTAGATCATCTCAGCCACAGCTTTTTTCTAGCCAGGTCTTAAAAACCTCTAGACGATAGAGAGTTCATAACCTCTCTGGGCAACATATTCTAGTGCATTACTACCATCCTTGTGAAAAGTTTCTCTGAATGCATCTAGCCTAACCTTTCCTTGCTGCAGCTTGAGACTGTTGCTCCTGGTTCTGTCATCTGCCACCACTGAGAACAGTCTAGCTCCATCCTCTTTGGAACCAGCCCTCAGGCACTTAAAAGCTACTAACAAATCCCCTCTCAGTCTTCTCTTCTGCATACTAACAAGCCCAGTCCTCTCAGCCTCTTCTCAATTCATATGCCCCAGCCCCCTAGCCATTTTTGTTCCCCTCTGCTGCACTCTCCCCAATTTGCCCACAACTGGACACAATACTCCAGGAGGTGGCCTCAGTGTCGAACAGAGGGGAAGAATTATATTCCTCGATCTGTTACCCACATGCCTATTAGTGCAGCCCAGTATGCTGTTAGTCTTCTTGACAACAAGGGCACACTGTTGGCTCATATTCAGCTTCTTGTCTACTGTAACTCCCCAGGTTCTTTTCTGAACAGCTGCTGCTTAGCCAGTCAGTTGCCAGTCGGAACAAAAAAGTCCTATGCATTAGTACAAAGTAGAGGACTTTGCACTTGTCCTTACTAAACCTCATGAGATCTCTTCTAGTCCATCCTCCAATTTGTCTAGGTCTCTGGCCACATCTACGTGAGCGGCAGACTGTGCAGTTATTTAGTACTTGCATAACCAAGTACTAAATGACTGCATAGTAACCAGCATTATTGTGCGGTAGTGTTCCTGCACAGTTTCCACACCCCCTTCCCCCAACACTACTGTGCAGTAGCTCATTACTATGGTGCTCTAGCGTCTCGTGTAGACATGGCCTCCGAATCATAGCCCTACCCTCCAGCATATCTACTAGTCCCCTCCACATTTGGTGTCATCTGCAAACTTGCTGAGGGAGCACTTCATCCCACCTTCCAGGTCTTTGACTACTGAACAAAACCAATGCCAGGACCAACCCCTGGGGCACTCCACTTTATACTGGCTGCCAGCTAGACAGAGCCATTGATTACTATCCTTTGAGCCTGACAATCCAGCCAGTTTTCTATCTAATTTTGTAGCCCATTCATGCAAACCATACTTCCTTAGCTTGCTTGAGAGAATGTTTAGCAAGAACAGTCTCTCTCAAGCCAAAGTAAACTGTAGCCACTGGTCTCCCTGCATCCACCAAGCCAGTCATCTTATTATAGAAGGCAATCGGGTTGGTCAGGCATGACCTGACCTTGGTGAATCCATGCTGACTGTTCCTAAAAATCACCTTCTTCAAGTTCTTAGAAATGTATTCTTTACCCGCTCCACGATCTTTCCAGGGACTGAGGCGAGGCCAACTGGTCTACAGTTCCTTGGCTCCTTCTTCCCTTTCTTAAAGTTGGGCACTATACTTGCCCTTTTCCAATCATCCAGGGTCTCTCCCAACCACCACAAGTTTTCAAAAGTTAATGGCCAAAACCTCTGCAAATCACATTGGTTAACTTCCTTAGCACCCTTGGGTACACTGCATCCAGCCGCATGGACTTTTACATGTCTGCCTTTTCTAAAAAGGTCCTAAACCTTTTCTTTCACCACTGTCAGCTGCTCACCTCCTTCCCAAACTGCTGCTGGATGCAGCAGTCTGGAAGCTGACCTTGCCTGGGAAGACAGATTAAAAAAAAAAAAAAAAAAAAAAAAAAAAAAATGCAGAGTACTTCAGACTTTCACATTTGTCACTAGGTTGCCTCCCCCACTCAGTAAGGGATGCACACCTTTCTGGATCTCTCTTGTTACCGACATACTTGTAGAAGCCCTTGTCACCCTTCAAGTCCCTTTCTGGTTGCAACTCCAATTGCGCTTTGGCCGTCCAAATTTCATTTGTGCACCTGACGGATACTCTGAAACTCCTTCTTAGTTATTTGTCCAAGTATCTACTGCTTGTAAGCTTCCCTTTGCGTGTTTCAGTTCACTGAAGGAGTTCCCTACTAAACCAAGCTGGTCTTCTTCCATACTTGCTAGTCTTCCTGCACATCAGAAGGGTTTGTTTCTGCACCCTCAATAAAGATTTCAAAGTTTGACTGGCTCTCCTGGACTCCTTCCCCGCCCCCCCACCAAAACAAGCCTCCCAGAGAATCATGCCTATCAGTTCCCTGAGGGAGTCAAAGTCTGCTAGTCTAAAGGCCAGGGTCCTTACTCTGCTGCTCTCCTTCCTTCCCCTCAGAATCCTGAATACAAATCATCCCATCATTGCTGCTGCTCAAGTTGCCAACCCCTTCTACATTCCCCACCAGTTCTTCCGTATTTATGAGCACCAAGTCAAGAAAAAAGCATTGCCCCCAGTTGACCTCTCCAACACTTGCACCAGGTATTTGTCCACAACACTAACAAAAACTTCCTGGATTGCCTGTGTACTACTGCAATACCCTCCCACTAGATGTTAAGGTGACTCAAGTCCCCCATGAGAACTAGGACCTATGATCTAGAAAAACTTCTGCTAGCTGTTTGGAAACAAAAAAAAAAAACACCAAACAAACAAAAAAAAAAACAACCTTCTCATCCTGGTCTGGTAGTCTATAGAAGGTACCTACCACAAACCCCCCTTCTTGCTCTCCCCTCCAACCTTAACCCAGAAAGTTTCAAAAGGCCTATTTCAAGTTTCCTACTGGAACTCTGAACAATCATATGGTTTTTACATAAAAAAAAAAAAACAACTGTTCTCCCCTACCTGTCCTTCCTGAACAGCTTGCATCTAGTTATGTGAACTATCCTACTAAGTCTGCTATTTCAATCACGTCAATTTCATGACTGTGCAAGGACTTAATGCTTCCTGCTCGTTTCCCAGGCTCCGTGCATTCACAGAGAGCCCAGAGTTCACTAGAACACTGCCCTAGTTTCTAAGGAAGAATGAGAAGACCTCACCTGTTGCCCTTACTTACTGAACACAGCAAAAGATGCCAGTTAATTATGACTGAGTGCAGGAGCCATTACTAGGGACCTACCGAGATCACAGGAGAAGTTAGCGATGCAGCAGCGCTTTTAAGCCTTGCTCTTCTCAAAAAACACATGCCCTTCCTCCCCTGCACTCCATGTCAAAGGCAAAAACCATGGTATTAATTACCTCTCTGCCACTCAGCAGTGAATTGGAGGGGGGGGCGCACAAGGGCATGGCAAACAGTAGGATTAAGGGTGCCACCAACTTCTGCTACAATTGAACTATTACCAAAATATGAAAACCTGCTTTAACCTGATTTAGATTGGCCTGGTTGGTTTAAAAAAAGTCAAACCAGATGATACAGAAATTCAAGCAGTCAACTGTGTTTATCAACTTGGTCTGACAAAAAGCATTTCAGGCAGAGCAGATCACTAGATTACATGAAGCCTGAAATAAGATTATGCAGTCACAAGGTCACAAATAGTTTAAGAGTTTTACATCAGAAAAGCAATAAGATGATATTTCCAATATCCCTTTGAAGGAGTTTTGTTGGTTTGTTTTAGTTAAATGCTGCTGCCTGAAACTTTTTTCAGCCTAACCAGGGAAAACAAAAAATTAACGCATGACCTCAAATACGTATTGCCTGCACTGCAAGATGCAAGGTATTCTTTCAAAGCCTAGAAGCTTAAATTGTCGACTTAAGCCAACATACAATATTTGGTATACAAAAGAACCCAGATCTTTCATATATGGGTCGTTTGCAACCTGCTTCATGTAGTGTCTGGCCAAATTCGGGAGGACTCTCTCAGCTGTTTGCAGTGGCTTTTACTCAAGAGGTCACCACTTTTCTACTCATCTGAAATTCATCAGCAGTCCCAAGCAACTAATTAGAAAACCAAATCAGTGCCCCTAAAAAAAAAAAAAAAAAGAGGCCATAGCAAATAGCTGAAGCACTTAAACTCTCATTTTGGAGTTTTAGGTTCCTCAGCCCCACCCCTATCCTTCCACTCATGAAGTTACCTGGGTTTGCTCTCACTTCCAGAAGGTTAACCCAACTACGTCAGTTCAATAGATGGTCTGCTCAAAATGAAGTAAGGTAAAAAAAAAAAAAAAAAGATACAGGAATATTCCAAGTCAAATGTTCTTTTAAAAGCATGTGGAAACTGCAAACTATACTCTTTGAGAATGTAGTCAACACCTCATTTAAAAAAATTTGACAGTTGCTACTGAACATGGAGAAATTTGCAGGTCTCAACAAGTTGTAAAAAATTTAAGCTTCAGTTAAATTGTTCCTCCTCTCTTCCTAAGTCTTCAAATACAACAACATATTTAAAAAGGTACAGAATGCATTTTCTTACTTGCATTAAAGCTGTGAATCAGTTAAATCCCATTTTAACTTTTTTTCAGAAATAAGAAAAAAAGTTTAGCTCAGTGGAATTTACGATAATCACAGAAGGAAAAAAAATAGAGTGGTTAAGTGCTGACAGAGAATCAAGTTTGTAAGAAAAAAAGTCATAGCAGAGTAGGCAGTCACCAACATAGAGCAATTAGATCCACATCTAGCACAGCCAATGGCTTTTCCTACCCATTTGCTTGTTACTTTCTACCTGCCCAGACAGTGGGGTAATTTTAGATTTTCAGCTACTTCAACATCCAAGTTTTGATGCTCTTACCAGAAGGCCCTGCCCCGTCAGTCGCATTTAAAGAAAAACAAGCAAGTACAATAAATTTTGGTGAGGAGTGACGAAGCTACCCGATTTCAAAAAGTTTGATAGATGTAAATGCTGTTAACTAGCAGAGAAAGTACTGCAGTTGTTCAACAAGGAAGAGTCAGAAGCAAGCAAACATCTGAAAAAAACACAAAACACTTCATCTGTGTTAGCATTCAAAGTAGCTATGAGTCTGCAATACTTCAAATGGAAAAATTAAGTCATTTGTGTCAAACAAAGCCATGTAAATTGATACTTCCCCCCATTCTGTCAAAAACATCTTTTTCTCTGTTTTTGATGTTATTGATCCTGCAGTAACTGGAGAAAAGGATCTTGGTTTTATCTTTCACTGAGAAATCTGGACCAATTACAGGAATACCATGCTGACCTGTTTATTCACACAACTACCCTGAGAAGACAACAACTTAGTCTGAACATCGAGACTATCCTGATCTAGCACCAACATGACAATAAGAATATTATCTGGGTCCCCAGAATAAGCAAGATTAAAGAGCCAATACTAGAATAAAACTGTTAAAATCAGACTTGCTTTTTTCTTTTTAAAAAAAAAGAACAAAAAAACAAAAACAAACAAACAAAACCTGGCAACAACTCAATTTTCCTCTTCTAGTACAGAGAGAGCTCAGAATCTGCTAAGAAGTTCCAGAAAAAACTCCTACTTAAAGAGGTATTTCCTGAGGCTATATGCACAAAGTACCTGGACATGAAACCAGTTTAGAAAAAACTATTTTAAAAGTTCTGCTCACCTGTTCTGCTGAAAGGAGGAAACAAATATGCACCTACCACAGACCTCAGTTCTCAGGAGAATATGGAGTTTGTTACTATCTTGACTAATAAGTATAACCCACAATCTGCATTGGTGGCAGCCAATACAGAAGAGTCAGTCATTTTGCACTGTATAGCTAGTAGTTTGTCTTCTCCAAAAGCAATGCAAAAAACTGTCATTAAATTAATTAGTTTGCTGTTTATTCGGACAGTTTAATACATCTGCAACTTGTGACTAATAAGAACACAACTTTTGGATTACTCTTACTTTTTAAGTACTATCTCAGAGGCACCCTTGCTGAATATCCGGAAGCTGCCATCAGAGTTTTTTAATACGGTACTCATTGATTTTCTAACAGAGTTGAAGGTGTATACTTTGTATAGCGCCTCTTCCGGTATCTCATTTCTTACATCCTGATAATCCCGTTTTAAATCCAAAAGCCATCCCAACAAGGCACATTCAGTTTTATTACCAACATGACGTGGTAGGCCACCTTCTTTCTCAGGGGTATGTAAACAAAAAAAAAAAAAAAAAAAAAAAAAAAAAATATCTTTTAGGAGGAATTGTTTCAGTTTGCAAAGTACAGTCCTCCAATATTCAAAAACTGAAAGAAGGGCCAGCACTAAAAACTTACTCCCCATCTTTCTTTAATATCCAGGTACATATTCTTGAATAAATCTGAGAGCAGGTCATATTCCATAGGGAGAAAAAAAACCCTAGAAGCCAGTGACCCAACATCAAGGACTGTACATCCTGTTTGACCACCTTGGCACAGGGTCAAGAACTTCAACAAGTTTATTATTCAGTAAAGTTATGATTCAATATTTGTAATGGTATTTATTATCCAGTTATTTCAAAGTTCATCTTACCTTCCTCTTCCCAACCACAACCTTACTAAGCCTTTCTTCTACCAACTTAAAGCCCACTCCTACAAGGTGTCCTCCCCATAAAAAGGTGCTTCTAGACTATGATTATCTGCGAATCTTCTCTTGGAGAATGTACTTAGAAGTCCCATCATAAACCTGTTTTCCAAACCTTGACCTAGTTAGTATTTTAAAGCCCCTTTTTTATTATTCTAGCATTTTTTGAACTGACATTTCAAGTGGATTCAGTGTTGCATTCCGTTACTAGTCTCTTTGGGCATACGCAATAGCCCTTCATTCACACTAAGAATATTGGAGAAGCACTAGTCTGCCCTCTTTAGCACTGCACTGTGAATAAGCTTTTATGCCATGATCCTTAAATACTTTGAATCGCTGCTTTACGTCTGGGCTGTAAATGGGCTCCATTTTGTTGGTTCCCAAGATCTTGTATTCAAGACATGAACATTATTCCAACCCCCCTTTAGGAAAGAAACCATGCCTTCCTTTGTAAGTGAGGGAAACCAAATCTGCATCACTGCATCAACATGTCAAATTTTTAACCAGTTGTATGTCTGCTATTCACCAACACCAACATTAAGTTGTGCTGAGAAAAAGATCACTTGGAAATCCTTTAAAGGTATGCATGCATTCAGTGCATGAAGACTGCATCTCCCTGTAACCACTTAAATGCAAAAAAGATTTAAATTTTGCTTAAGGCTATTTCTTACAACATTCAAGTCTGAGCTGGAAAATGTTTTAAAAAGTGAATGAAGTGTAAGAGACTGGTTTTAAAAATTTCAGAGCTGCTCTCAAAGGTTAAGGCAATGCCTCTAGTAGGTTAGAGAATACTGTTTACTTCTTGTAGTTTGACATCTGGCTATAAAGTCTCTCAGAGCCTCTGACAACTACCAAAATGAGAGCACTTTAAATACAGCATTTTTTTTTTTTTTTTTTAAAGGAGGTATATACACTGTCCATAACTTAGTTTTCTACATCAGTGTAGAAAATGTTAATTTATAAGCTCCTGAATCATTCATACAAGACAGACTTGAAGCAATATACATTGCTGTACAATGTACAAGTTGAGGACCAAATGTGCTCACTTGATATCTCTCTCATAGCAGTTATCATTTACTTCTAAAAAAATGTTTAAAAAAATTCTTCCTACACACAAAGTCTGCAGCATACTTCTAGATGGCCTTAATTCAGAAGTCGAGTTTAACATAGGAATACTGATACAACTGAAGTAATTATTAGAATAGTCAAGAAAAGCTATAAGTGCCATCAGACTTCACTTTGTTGACTTAAGAGGGACACAAATTCTATATAGTATTGTGTAAAATGAGTCCAAGACGTCTGTATCCATCAGAAAAAGCACGCTTTAGGCAAAGCAAATATAGTACAGCATTTATTCATGAGTTATGTAATAAATTATGCCCCACACTATAAAAAGCTTCAATTAAACAGTAAAACTATTAACCCTGAAATACAGTATTAACACCTGGGAATAAAAAGAAAGAGGCACTATTTGTACTTGCATTTTTCATTACATTCTAGTAAACACTAAACTGCTCTCACATTTTTATATTGCAGTAGCACCCAAAATGCACTAAATTCTTTTCAAAGCAGAGAAAGCCCTTAGCTAATTCTTGGATACAAATCATGAATTTTGTTTTTTTACAGGCTTTTTATAAAAGAATTTAAGCATAATTTTGGCTATTCAGAAACATCAGGAAGCTAACTGCAAAACTAATATTTGCATTTTAAAGTCTGACTTCACACTTACCAAATTGGGCATTAACATTACAGTAGACTCAAGGTTCCCTAATTTCACTTCATTTTATGAAAATAAAAAAAAGGGACAAGTTTCTGCCATATGACCACAGGCTTATTTTTTGTACTGTATAACTAGAAACAACTTATAAAAAGTGAGGAAGGTCTACTTACCAGTATTTTGGAAGTATAAGCACAATTAACAGAAATTCCTGTTACAAGATAAGCCATGGAGTTTTCAGGAATAGCTTCTGGTTCTGGAATTTTTTTATAATGTTTTTCATTGATGTAAGCCTGGACTACTGTCATTCTGTTCATGGTCAATGTTCCAGTTTTATCTGAGCAAATAGCTGTTGCATTACCCATCGTTTCACAAGCATCCAAATGCCTCACTAAATTATTATCTTTCATCATTTTCTAAAAAGATAAAAGCAAATATGAACTAGCTATTACCCAGGCTTTAATTTTCAGAAAAACTTTCCAGACTTGGCTGCTTATCTTTGGGCACCTTAGACCCCACCATTTCATGATGTGGCTACCTGGCTGTTTCCAAATGTGATGCATGCACACACTGTGCACAGATGAACTGCATTTTGAAAACCTTCACTAACTAGTCTCCTGCAACTGTGCATCAAGACCATGCAGGTATACAAACAAGTCAGTGGCCCATATATTAGTAGGTTACTAAACATGTTAAAACAGAGGCTAGCTTCAGCTGGTTAAGCAGTGACTGAACATCTAAAAAAAGGTGCCACCCTGGCCCAAGTGGTTCAGAGACATGAACTCTGTAGCATCTGAAAAAGTAAGTTACTGCCACCCTGCCCTACCTTCTGCCCAATTTTAGATTAAATAACCACCTCTCTGCTAGATTAGCCTAGTCTAGGGATGGTCTGCTCAATATTCAATGGTTCCCAACTGCGAGGAGAAATTCCCATTCCAGTTAAACTTAAAAAGTCTCCCACCTAATCTTGTAAACCCTACTTGCAATAACACTTGTATGCCACATTTTGCTTTAGCCGATATTATATGCACTGCATCATTGGACAAAAGAGCAGGCATTTATTGCATGTTCCAGTTTTAAGACCTTACTTCTGACATGATATACTTATTTTGGGCACCTAAATAAGTGGAATTTAAACTCCAGTTCTTGGAAGATTCTGCAATATTGGACTTCTGGCCAAGGGTGCCTGGGTAGTGTAGTGTAAAAACCCTGTCATTTGAGACATGGTTTAAAAATCAAGCTTGGAACATTATCCTAACCTCCAAGGTGGCAGTTGAACAAGCCCACAAAAAAAATGGATTTGCAGCAGCCTTACTCTTATGTATTAGCAGAAGTGTAAGGAAGCAGCATACAAAGCTGTTAACTGTTGCAACCAAATTTCAAACTAAAAAGTGTCCAGTCCAAAAAATCCAAAAGAACTGCCAAGAAGTTTGATATTTTGAAATTGATCAGGAGTAAGACACCCCGTGCCAAAACTGTAGGCTCTAGATATTCTGAAATATCAACGCAGATAGTAAAGGATTCAAATAAGATGCATCTTCAAACACTGAAGGATTATCCTGCAACCGTTTGCCTAAATTTAGTTGCGGTTGTACAAGTATTAGTCATGGGAGAGAGTTCAGTGGACAACTTGCCTAGCTCAGTTTATAAAAACCTTGCATTACCTAACACTTCTAAAAAAATTAATAGGGTAAAGCTATGTTATTTAAGTTACCAATAATATAGTTGTAGTAATACGTAAGCATACTAAAGTATTACACATTGGAATATGATTTTATCATCTCGTACAAAAAAAATAAATAAATCAGAGAATGTATTAGAGACATTCTGTCTCCAGCCTGCTGAAGTCTACATTGCCCTGCCCAAGACATTCATATGGTCAGGAATTTCAAGCAAATTAGATACTTGGACCAGGTCCAGAGAAGTGCAGAGGTGTGGTATGTGGCACCACAGACCTGTGTGCAGTGCTATACACTGCACATGCAGGTGTAACATGGAGGGGATGACGCCAGGAGATTCCAGGGTCAAAACCCGCCCCCATGCCAAAAAAAGAAAAGCAGGATGGCGCACGTGGCAGTAGTATGTACAACCCAAAATCAGAACCTGGCTGGTTGGGGCCATGCTCTGGGTGCAAACCAGAATCCCTGCTGCAGATGCAGCTCCAAAAAGGCCCCCAGATAAGAGTGCTGGGACCAACGGTTACTAGCCCCAGCCTCTCCTACCCCACCTAGAATAACCTGCTGCATACCAGGGCGCATGGGGCATGGGCATTCCCTGGTGACAAGCAGCAGCATTACAAGGCGGGTTGCTGCTGCGACTTGTCCACAGGGAAACAGTATCCAAACTTGTGTGGACATGGCCCAGGTCCACAATGCTTCTCTGAACAAGCGAGAAGAGGATTATTTATTTTTTTTTTTGTATTAGAAAAAAAAAGTTACCTACTGGGCACATTTTTAGCCGTTGCATTTGTACATGCCTGCTTTTATTCATGCTCGTGTTCCCCACCACACACCTACCTTTACAGAGTAAGCCAGGGATATTGTGACTGCAAGTGGAAGACCTTCTGGTACTGCCACCACCAGGACTGTAACTCCAATAATGAAGAACTTTACAAAGTACTGAATATAAATTGGTGTGCATTCAGCAAGCCAAGGTTGCTTCTTAATGCAGAAGGTATCAATTACAAAATACAATACAAGGATAATGACCGTGATTGCAGACATCAACAAACCTTTTGTTAAAAAAAAGAAAAAAAAAGAGAAGCAATTTTTTAAAAACAGAAAAAGCTAAAAAGCATTCTTGTTTATAGTACACATGCTTAAAAGTTAAATTTTCCTAAAATCCTAGTCTCAGTTTCCAAAAGAACATGCAAGAGGTAATGTTTAAAAAACGAAAAAATACAATCGTATGGTTAAGAAACTGAATAGGAAGAGGCTCGTAGCTGATGTAGTTAAACTACGATTCAAAATACCATTTATGTATTCAAGAACAAAAAGCTAGCTTTTCACATTGATAAAAAAAATTTAGTTAAGGCTATTATGCTGAACAGCAAGATAATTTTAACATAATTAGTCTTCTGATCCTAAATCTATCAAGATTAACTGGTAAATGCAGATTGATCAGGTAACTTAATGTGGGAGTGGCTGAAAAACACTGGTTAGCACTTTCAGTGGACAGAAGAGAAGCCAGAATATAAGGGATTATGGCAATGATTAGGCATTAGGAGCAAGATGCACTCAAATTTAACCTTCTATTGTGTGGAAGACTGGAGTTTCAGGTGTGAAAGGGACTAATACTAGTGGAGGTGACATGCAATTATGAAAAGGAAGGTCCTAAAATAAAATTTAAAAAAGGAACATGCAGGTATAGGAGCCAAAGAGGCTAACTGGCTAGCTGACGGCCTCAGAAAGATCAGGTAAAAACATACCTAGAACATGAAACATTAGTATCTCTGTATGTGCCCACAATATACTCCCCTGAAGAGTAAGGAATTCCAGTTCCTTTCCCTA